TTGGCTATAAAGTTAGTCAACCTCAGCCCTCTAGAGTTTCTACTTCTTATTTAAGTGAAAACGCTGAGACTCAATCTTTTGAACAAGAAGAACCTTAATCTTCTTTTCATGACCACATAGATGAACTAAAAGTTCATAGGAATGGAATTGTTCATGACAATACCATAAACAATGCGGGTAGTTCCAGCTATTGTAAACCTCACAAGGTTATAGAGACTATGTCTGATTTTAGTCTTTAGTTTTATGATGATTAATAAATTAATTTTATATTATTATTAATTAATAAAATATTAAGAATACATATTTCAAATATAAATTAAATTTTATTAATTAATAAAATATTAAGACATATTTTTTGGTTATCTATTTGTATACAAATGTATTACGATAAATTATAATATATTAAAAACTTTGACTTTCATGTTAAATTAACATATTCACGAGTAAGAGTACGCTCTATATGTTCTTCATACTCATTGAATATATGTTGGTACGAGACAATCCATGTACTTGTATCTTGAAGACGATAACGTGCCCAATGGTGCGTAAGTGTGGGCATTGGATATTCTTCATTTAATATCATCTTTATGTAATGGTTACCATCAACATCTACTATTGCAATGTCACGTGTTGAGATGACGACGGAGGTTATGTCCTAAACGATAAGTATGTCACATTGTCTGCTATATTGAGAACATGCAGAATGACATTGAACCTTGAAGCCGTTAGAATGCCCATTTCATGCATAGCAATCCAATGCGTAGCTGGTGCGAATACGCCCTTTTGGAAAAAAATCAACGCTTCGTGAATGCGTAAGCACTCTTTGCCGATCACATAAGAGTAATATTGTACATACTCAGTTCAATCATTAACTCTTTGCGGATATTGTCTCATTCGTCTTCATGACCACCCAGACAAGTAGATATAGCTCGGAATCCACAAGTTGTACGTGTACCATTCCTGATTTTGAGATTCAAGTAATTGTAACCATAATTGACAAAAAAGAGTTCCACGAGTGAGACTCGTGAATCGATGGTCTACAATGTTTCAAAATATTTTGAAAGATGTGTCATCTATAAAGTAACTGTTTAGTACCCGGAGATACCACTCTGCATGCATTAATCAAAGCCAACTCTCTGTCTGTGACTATGACACCTGGGTGGGTTGTCGTTGGAAGTACGAACTATGTCTCACTGATTCTTGATGCCCCAAATCTACAAAGTTAATAATTGTTGGCACATTAGAACAACTACGTCTACGTTCTTCAATAATTCTTTTGTTCAAAGCTTGATTCTTTATAGATGGACGACCACGAGTGGTTCTATGAATCGAGGGTTCCTTAAACAGTTTTGATGGCATTACTATATCCTTCAACTTTCTGAGTAAGCTTTTACGACCATAAGACGACCGCTTGTTGCATATTTCCTTGAACATTTGAACTTCATCATCACATCCAATCTCGTCATCTTGTGTGGACACACAGGGTGAAAAATCAAGTTTTTTCCAAAATATATCTATTGCGTCAAGTGGAATGGGTATGCCTTGACATGTATACAGTGCTTGTTCATGAGCACACGGCAACCCAGGACTTCTACGCAATTTACAACCACAATTTTAAGAAAATACGCTAGTTTGGAAAGACCGTTTGTTTTCAGTGGAAATCATATCAAGTGCATGAAATGAAACAAATCCCCACAAATTTTGAAAGCGTGAGTTTCCAAATCGATGTTTCCTAATAATTCTACATTGTTCAAAACTTGTTTTAATCGATGTGTCCTGTGACTGGATTACTTGATGGATGTGAGATAGAATTATTTGTAAGTCTGCTCGGGAAGTCTCCAAAAATAATTTTAGTTTGGAATGTTGGCTTTCAACTCTGTTTGTTGTGTGATTTCCAAAGTTTAAAACCTGATCAACCTAAGCAGATACAAACATTTCTTTGAATGGTGTCAACCATACATTGTTCAGGTAATTCATAACACCTGAAAAAATACAACAAACATATTGAAGAAGAACGTGAAGTATCGAATGAACAATTCGTTCGTTCGTTCGATATATATATATATATATATTTTTTTTTTTTTTTGCTGTGTCTTGTATTAAAGTATTATTTTTTGCTGGATCGACTCCTAATATAAGAGTTCTAATTTGTGATGTAAAATTGTATGGATTGTCTCCTAAAGCTTTTAAACTATTCACTTCATTTGGGTCTTGTGCTTTTTTACTTTGCCAAATGCCCAATGCTATTGGTCCTAATGTTGTTTCTAAGTAGGAAAACATGTTCATGCTATCTTTTTTATTGGTTTCCCACATTCTTACTACTGTTTGTTCCCATGCTAATATTTCATCTATCCATAATTGTGGTTTTTGTTGTTCTAATATATTTCCCATAGGTAATCTTTTACCTTTTCCTATTGTGTTGGATTCTTGTTGGTATTCTACAGAAGGTTTAGTCCATAATTCTCTTCCAAATTCTTCTTGTGTAGATGTACCTGGTTCTTGCCATTTTATTCTTTTCTTTGGATTTGCCATGTATGTATCCATAAATGCTTGTTCTTGTTCTTGTTCTTGTTTATAAAAATCTGATAACATAATTTTTCACTGTACTATATCCTCCACTAAAGGTAAATTATAATAGTTTTGTAGTTTATTATAACTTTCCTCATATGTCATTCTTAAATTTGTCATACATTCTATTATCATATCATCAACTTCTTCTTGTATATTTAATTCTGTAAATTTTATGTTAATTATTTGATCCAATGTTTTATTAGTTTTGTGATAACCAGATCCTGGTTATTACCCAAGGTAATTTATATGTGATTATCTGATTTTATAATTACGTGATAACATGGTAATTTTTACATGCCGGTTTGAAAATTTGTGAATTAATTGGTTATATATATATATATATATATTTATGAGAATATATATATATATATATATATATATATATAAATATGTGTTTTTTTTATGTGGTTAAAATGAAGGCATGCATACGTGTAGGTATGCATGTGATTGTATGAATATGATTATGCATGCAAGAGGTGGCAAAAGAGGGGGAAGGCGGTTAGCAACCTTTCCCCATTTGGTAAGTATAAAAARGGGAGTTACCCCTTCATTTGATTTCTTCTTGCCACTTTGAGAGAATTTGAGAGGGAGTTATAGTGTTGTCCGGATTGCATATTAGAGGAAGGTTTCAATTGATTTCAAGCCATTTTCAAGGGTTGGATTTCAAAAGGGGTTGATTTCTAGCATTTTKGTGTCAAAAGCTTTAAAAGGTGAGTGGTTTCTAAACATTTTTGTATTAAAATCCTACTGGTTTCAATTACATGCTTCGTATTATTCATATTTGAAGAGAGCATGTTTATTTTTGTTCTAAGTGTTATCCGGACAAAGCTTGACCGGATAAGGGTGTAAACCGGACAAGCCTTGTACGGGGTATTGTCCGGATTGTTTTTAAACCGGCTAAGCTTTAAGCGGTTTAGTGACCGGATTAGTATAAACCGGACAAGCCGTGAGCGGTTTGTTGTCCAGAGTTGGTTAAACCGGTTGAGGGTTGAACGGTTTATCTTTAAACCGGATGAGAGTTGAACGGACTAGTGTCTGGATTTGTTATCCGGACAAACTTGAAATTGTTCTAAGTGTTTAACCGATTAGCAAGTGTGTGGTATGATTGACCGGATTAGATATTCGATTAAAGTGTGAAATTATTTTAAGTATGGTATGTTGACCGGATTAGATATCCGGACAACAAAACGGATTTTAKTCCAAGTGTAATACGGATGAGGCTTAATCGGATTGTTGACCGGACTTGTTATCCGGATGAGTGTTGACCGGATTTGGTTGACCGGACTTGTTATCCGGATGAGTGTTGACCGGATTTG